AACCTAAGAATGGACTAACAGTTACCAAAGGGAAAGGGACTGGGGAGAAAGGGAGGAAAGGGAGGGATAAGGATGGGGAAAAAGAAAGGGGACATTATGATTAGCATGTATAATGTGGGGGGTGGGCACGGGGAGGGCTGTGCAACACAGAGAAGACAAGTAGTGATTCTACAGCATCTTACTATGCTGATGGACAGTACTGTAATGGGGTTTGTGGGGAGGGATTTGGTGAAGGGGGGACCCTAGTAAACATAATATTGTTCATGTAATTGTAGATTAATGACAACAAAATTAATTAATTAATTAATAATTTAAAAAATAATAGTAATATTTATTCTTAATAAATTAAAAAATAGAAAACCATGAAACAGAAAAAAAAAAGCAGACTGCTAGGCTTTCAGGTCTAGGGTTTCTGACTTAGTAGGTCTGAGGTGGGGCCTGGTAATTTGCATTTGTAACAAGTTGCCAGGTGATGATAAAGCCGTTGGTCCCGAGCTGGCACTTTGAGAATTACTTACTGCTCCAGAACTTGGCTTCTTAAAGAGAACCAGTGTCACTTTGCATCACCTGGAAGGATATTAGAAATGCAAAATTTCAGGACCCATCCCATATCTATAGAATCAGAATAGGTATATTAATAAGATCTCCAGGTGATTCACTAGCACATTAAAGTTGGAAAAACACGGTTCTAGAGTAAAACAACCCTGATACTTGGAATATCTTCCTTTGAATGGCAGGCAGAGGGTTCATGATGAGTGTACTGATCCTTTTCTATGGCCCAATATTCTATTAAATTCCACTATGAATTATTCTTGATATTGTAAGTGCTATAAAATGGGTTTACATTTTCATACTCAACTTCCAGATAAAGCAAAGAAGGCATAGTTATAGTTATAGAATAATGCAATTTTATAAACCTTACAGTTAAAAAAATTGTATGAACTAATGAAAATCAGGATGTAAAACTGGAACAGCAAGTAGGAGTGTCCTGTCTGACAAAATCTTGACTTAATAAGCTGGCAGGTAATGTCCAAAATCATATGTACAAATGTAATGAATGTATGTTTTTATAGATATTAGCAATCATCAGAGGAACTGTCTCCCTCAGAAAACTTGTCTCTGGAGAGTAGCAACTTGGTGATGTGAATAGGAAGGAAAATTTTTACTTTTAACTTTGGATCTTTCTGTACACTTTGAATTTTTCCATAGATATTTATTTAATTTTAAAAGGCTAGTTTAATAAATCCTTTCTGAAACAAGATGGAGTATAAATAAGAGTAAATAAATATTTAATTTTCTTATCATTAAATGTAATTGGGACTTCCGGGGTCCACAAACTACAGGTCACAGGCCACCTCTGGCCTGCCATCTGCTTTGCAAATGGGGTTTTATTGGAATACACCCACACTCACTCATCTGCACATTATCTATGGCAGCTCTGGTGCCGCAACAGCAGGAAGAATTGGTAAGTTGCAACACAATGCCTAAGGTATGCAAGCCTAAAATATTTCCTACTTGGCATTTTCTAGAAAGTTTGCTGACTCCTGCTCTAGAGGCTAAGATAAATGAATCATGTATATATATCTGCTTGCGTTAAGTATCTCACAGCACACACTTGTGGCTTTGGGAGTACACATCTCCCTGGAATGACTGAGCCCAAAAGATGACTACCTAATAATATAAGATGGATTTCGTAGGCAATTTTTACACACACATAAATTCAAATTTTGAGTTGAGAAGCTCTAAAACAACCAAAATTTTTATGGCTAAACTATAAAAAAAATCATCACCGTCGTGACATCTGATGTGTTTCTGATGAGATAATGAGGACATTTAATAGTAGTGACAGCAGAAAGTCATAAGTCAGTGGGATGTTACTGAGTGTGAATTCTTCCACAGATGCTGCCAGCAGTTTCCCATATAGCAGTGCCTCCTTATCCACAGGTGAGACACTCCAAGGCCCCCAGGGGAGGGCTGAAACCTCGGACAGTACTGAATCTTACATGTACTATGCTTTTTCCTGCACATACATACCTACACATATCATACACATATGATAAAGTTTAATTTTAAATTAGGCACAATAAGAGGTTAACAAAAGTAATAACAAAATAGAACAATTATAACAATATGCTATAGTAAAATTAGGTGAACGTGGTCTCTCAGTCTCTCTAAAAATATCTTACTGCATTGCACTCACTCTTCTTTTTGGGAGGATGTGAGATGGTAAAATGCCTACATGACGAGATGAAGTGAGGTGAATAACACAGGCATTGAGGTATAGTTTAAGCCAGAACCACAGTTGACCACAGGTTAACTAAAACTGCAGAAAGTAACACTGCAGATAAGGGGTGACTACTACATTCTTTTCTGAGTGTACCCAGAGGCCACTTCTGTCACTCAACTTTGCAAATTAGAAATTAGCATATTAAATTAGCAGTTTCCAAATTGTCATCTGGGGATACCTGCGAATACCATAGTTTCTTTTAGGGGGTCTCTGACATCGAGGTATTTTCATAATAATACTAAAATGTCATTTGCCTTTTTCACTCTCATTCTCTCCTGAGAGTACAGAGTGTGAAGAAATTATTGATAGGGTCTGAGTTTCCACAATGCAAGTAATCTTTAAGAAACTACCGCTTGTTATGTTTTGGTGCAGTCTCAAAGAACAGCAATTATCTGAAAAAGTAATTAAAATATTCCTTTCTTTTTAGGGTATGTAATCTGTGTGAGGCTAGACGTTTTTCAAATATTCAATTAAAATAATATCTCAACAGACTGAATGCAGAAGCAGATATGGCAATCTGGGTGTCTTCTATTATGCCAAACATCAGAGGTTTTCAAAAATATGAAACAATGTCACTGTTCTTACAAAATTTTTTGTTTTGCAAAATAGTTACTTTTCAACAGAAAATATGTTTATGCTATCATGTAATGGATTATTATTTTAAAATAAATATTTTAAATGTATCAGTTTAATTAACATGGCAAATATCAACAGATATTGTCCATACATATAAACAAAAGCTCTTTGGAGGTCTCAATAATTTTTAAGAGTATAAATGAGTCCTATGATCAAAAAAATTGAGAACTTCTATACTGAAAAATCTTACTATGAATTCTCACCTCCTACATGTTTCATTATCAATACACAATCCTCTGAATTGCTCATCTCTTCCTGTAAGCTTAGTCCTTATTTCTAGCTTTCCCTGCTATCAATCTTGTATCTCATCTCACCTCTTTCTGCTTACAGACATGAGGAGATTTCTATTTTTACCACCATGTGTTAAGTTCTCCCTTGGCCTTGATCCATACCTGGACCACCCAGACTCCTTCTCCCTTCTCTTATTCCTCTTTAACCATCACTTGCCCCACGAGTTTTCCCTTGTTTGCCATCACCCCATCCTCCCCTTCTTTTGTTCTGTCACGTTTCAAGTAGAGAAGCCACACAAAACACTTTAACGTTAGTGTTTAGATGCTGGGACTGCACCTTGTAGTCTAAGCCGTCGGAGCAATTGAAGACAACACACTGAATGGCGAGGGCTTTGGCCAGGTCTTTGGTAGTCTCGGTTTTCCCTGTGCCGGCAGGACCAGCTGGTGCCCCTCCGAGGTCGAGCTGCAAAGCCCCCATTAGGCAAAGATAGCAGCGGTCCTGAAGAAATAATGAAGTCAATGAATTGTCATTATTGAAGGGAACTGACTCCAGCCACCAATTCCTAAATCCTTTTCCACAGGAAGAGGGTCATTATTTTCTGTGACGGGTTGTTTGAGCAAATGAGATACACTCAAAGATCCAGGCAACTAAATAATGCAGATCTCTGCTTCACAAAGACGTACTCATGGCAAATTCTTTCAGGAGTTAATGTTAGACAAAACTTTTTAAGAGTATTGTAATAAAAAAGCACTTCCGTGTGAACACTGACTTAGGTGATCAGCAACCTACTGTGAGAGGAGTAATAACCAGTCTTGGGCAGGCACCCAAATATTCATAGCCATAAGTGTACTGTGAGAGCGCCATCCTAGCCACGCAATTATCCAGGTCTATATCCCAATAGTAGCGCAGTTGTCTCTGCCAGTCAAAGGATTCGACTCCCTCTACCTGCAAAGGTGATGACAATGAAACACATGTTAGATGTACTAATTTCAGAAACAAATAAATGATCTTATTAAAATGTAGGTTACCTTAGTTTGAACAAGCTCAGTGACTATGTCTCTTGCATGTACATCAATAGTAATTAAGGCAGTTAAGATGTTTCTGTGTAATTTAGGAAGATTGCCTCGAACTAGTGCAGCCAGGGCATTTAATCTCTACAAATTAAAAAAGAAATTGCCATGATGAATTTTCAAGTATCAGCTTACATATATATCTTTGTACTAATAAATTAGGAGTAGATGTTTGCCAAAACTATCTAATTTTAAGAATCTATAATTCTGTGACCAACAGGACAACAGTTTAACATATTTAATTCCTAGAGGACTTTTAGGAAATACATACTATTTTTATCCCGATTTTACATTAGAGGAAACTGAAGGACAGGGAGGGTAAGTAACTTGATGGTATGACATGGCAAACGAGATATGCATAGACGTTGGCCTCTAGGAAAGCCCATATGATGCTGACTCTAGGGAAGATGGACTGTTCTCCCTAAAAATTAAATGCAATTAAGGTAGTACTCCTCATTTTTAGGGGTAGTTTTTCCTTCGATAATCAGAAAACTTGGGCATTTTAATTAAGCTAGTGATTGATTAAGTAAAAGCATTTTTTGATAGATCGAGTGCCTAATTTTCACTTATGGTTAAATCATTTTCAAGAAGAGCAGTGCCCTGAAGGCCTTGAACTACTGTGCTGAATTTTCACTCAGGCTGACCCTATCAAGGACCACCTCTCTGGAGAGGCCAGTGGGACTTTCCTTAGGAAGTCATTCTCTTTTCTGAGGCTCTTTGACATGCAATTCTATTGAGGACCTTCTTGAGATGGTCTCTTATTTCAAGAAAGTTGTTTCCTCCTTTTTGGGATTTAAGGGTGATTCTTCAAAACATACAACATTGCTTGGAAACTGAATTTGGAGTTAAAGAATAGGCACAGCTATAAAGTGCTATTTCCCAACTATAGCTTAAAAATTCTTGTATAGTGGTATTTAGAGCCATTCAATTATTTATTGATTTATTGACAGTTACCTGAGGATTCTATAAAATAATAGAAAAGCACATCTTGAGCCTAAGAATAGAAATGGCACAAATGTTGGGGTTTTCCTGGTAAATAAACTTCTGTGAGAGCTATCCAGGACCTAGTAAATATAAATTCTCCTTAAATGTTGCAAACCCTTATAATTCTGAGAATTTCCCCAATTGTCTTTTTCCTATTTTTATAAGTATTCATACAAATACTACACCAACACCGAGATAGTGTCCCTAAGAAAACTTGAACATAAATGGTTTTCGTGAGAACCCCAAAGCTTTTTAAGTCATGTTGGAGCATTAAATTCTGAAATAAAGTGAATTTGCATTAACCATGCCAATAAAAACTACTGAGACCATTCGTTTCATCAATATGTTGTATCATCTTGCTAAAAATCTCACCTCAAAATTTACTTTTTCAAAAGCTTCCAGAGCCTCCATATGGCTACCATTTTCTTTTTCCAAACACTCAGTCAAATCCTGGCACCACATGATTTGAGAAATGGTCAGGATCACCTGCATGGAAACATCTCCTGTAAGTGTGTGATGCATGCCACCAAAAAAGGATTCAGAGATGGAAATTTGAGGAGTGTAAGTTACTTGAGAAGGGTGACCAGCAATCACCCAGTCTGTCCTTGATTTCCCCAGATAGTCAGCGATGGCAGCTTTGCATAGGCGGCGCAGAGATGTGAACATGGCTTCCTCCACTTTCCCAAGCCACTCCTCCACATTGCCTCGGGCTTTGAGGCCTTTGCCCAAGCCAACCTAGCAGATAATCAGAGCAATGATGACATGGTTTGGGTAGGATTGATTGTAGGATGAACATTTTCTGTACTTCTGTAACAATGCTGAGTTCTGTGGACACTCAAGCCTGACCACAGATACATCCAATTGACATCCTGCTCTGCACCTTGCCTTATTCCCCTCCACTTGTTGCTTTATTTTACTGGTTCCTTTTGGAGCCAACTCCCAAAAGAGAAATCTACATGTACTACACACATTCCTTCACTTTCTTTTCCTGCTTGCTGCCATCTAGTTTTGGGCCCAAACACTTCTCTAAACCTGGTAAAGTCATTAAGGTTACCAATGTTCTCCCAACTGTCCTTGTATTTATTTCTTAGATTTCCAGGGACCTGACCACCCCACTTGTCTGGGTCTCTGGCATTTGTTCTTCTTCTACCCTCTCTTTAAGTTTCATGTTTTCCCTGGATCCTAACCTTGGTCCCCCAGCCTTTGTCTTCTATGTGAGTAATAAGCAAATTCTTTTGCAAGAGGATCAACTCAGGACAAGTAAAATGTGTTTGGGCTCTTGCCACCCCATAGATACAGCTCTGGGCTCTAACTGGACCGAAATCCTTGGCATCTCCCTGCGCAGCTCCTCTGGATGGAATGTTTTCCCTCCCATGTCTCCTCTCCATCCTCCCTGGCTGCCTGTGAGTGCGTGTGTGTGAAGTCACTTGGTTTCCCACAGTCTGCTAACACATTCCCTCCCTTGATATTTACTGTATGCCAGGCACTTTGCAGTGCCCTGGAGATGGCCAACAATGCCAACACTTGGATAGCACCCACTAGGTATGGATCGAACTAATTTACGTAGAGTAATGCTTGACAATCCCCAGCATCTCATTAACCAGGCATGATTACTAAGTTGCATTTTATAGCTGAGGTTAAAGGGTAGGACTGAGTCCAGGTGACCTGGCAGTAGAACTAGTGCTTTTAATAAGTCTGCTCTGCAGCTTCTTATGCGGAGGTAAGACACGGCTCTGGTTTTCTCCACTGTGTTCCCAAGAACAGAGCACATTCCTGTTTTGCACTTATTGTGGTGAGTTTCAATTGTTTGTTGGACTATGTCTTCACTAGAGCTCTTTGAGGGCAAGAATTTAATCTTGGTTCTCTTTAAGCTGCCAAGCCAGCAGAGCCCGAGTACGCAGGAGCGCTTGCCGAAGGCTTACAGTGCCAGTGAATAAACCTCCACCCTCAACCCTAAAGGAAGGACAAAGTTTGCCTATAAAGAATTGTGAACAAAGAGCACCTCACCCTTTCTCCTTCTGGCGATAGCATCGCTAAAATATCATTAGTGAAAATCTTTTCTGGCTCTCCATCCATACCAGGAATTTTTCCTTCAGTAGGAGGCATGAGAGCAAATTCAAGGTTTGAAATGGAGTCAAAGCATTTCCTTAAGTGCGGTTGCACAGCTTGGGGATTTCGTGTCTGGGCCAAAATCTCCAGAAGTTCATCATTTGATAAGAAGTAAAATCTGGATTAAAGAAAATACTCAAAATATAACTTGAAATTGAAGCAAAGCCCTATACAGACATGAAAGAAAATAATCACTTAGCCACAGCTCTTCCCCATCCACTGATTTCCAGGATCTCCAACCTATCCGCCCTGGGTTTCTGGGAAGACCACATGTCTCTAAATATAATTGTTGTGAAGATTAGTGTGGCTGCATCTCAAACACCTAGAATCAGTGCCTGGTACATAAAAGATAGACGTTTTCCATGAAGACTGTAAAAAATGCTAGCTCTTGCTCTGACTGATTTGTTCACATGTCTGTGTTACCTAGTTTTGATCTTCTAGAGTGCTATTCATCACGCAATTTTTTAGATAGTTGGATGAGTGGTTACGGCAACTTTATTTGGATCTGTGACTATGCACATGTGGGCCATGCTAGCATGATCCTCCAGGGGATTTTCTTAGATCCTGCCCAACAGGGCCCTTTGGAGGGACCTGAGGAAAGGAAAAGGAGGGGCACACCTGGACGCCTAGGGATGAGTGAGAGGGACAAAGGCCTGGCCAGAGAAGATAGCTCACTTCTGTGGAAGAAGATGCCTAGGAGAGATCCTTTGGGATTGGAGGAGTGGTAAAGAGCCCATGGCAGGCGCCATGTGGGAGAGACGGGGTCAGATAGGTCCCTGCCAGTTCACGCTTTTCTTGCCATTTTGCCTCTCTTCCCTTCCCTGTCCCAAACCTGGAAACCTCGGAAACTTAACAGGAAGTGGGGAGGTTGATCGCATGTCCTCATCATCATTAAAGTATTTAATCTTGCAACAGGCTGGGGTAGGAAAAGGGGACATTCTAACTTTGAAATAAATTCATTTTCTTCAGATTATTATAGATCATCTATTATATTAAGGTGACAAGAGGTTTTTTATTTTGTATTATTATCTCGAATGACCAGAAAATTTATGGAGGCTGCCCAACATTTTGTCCAGGGTAGGAAGAAAGTAGTCCCCAGCAGGGAATGGAAAGGCAGTCGTTTGATAAAATAAAGATGTTTTTGGTTGTACTCTATCATTCCTGCCTCTTTAACATACCACATACAGTAATAACTGACTTGTCTCCATGCCTCTTTTTCAACTAATGAAACAGATAACTGTAAAGACTGGACCATGGGCCCTGTGAGAATAGAAACAATATTGCATTCATCTTGTGTCCCCAGAATCTAACTTGTTACCCATAGTAAGTCTTCATTAGGGATTGTAGAGTGAAATCAAGGCTGAATAGAGCCATTTATATAATAAATATTGCATACTTAGTTGATGCAATTCTAAGCAAAGAAAAAACAAAAGCTGATGCTTTTTGGTGTTCAGCATTATCACAGTTAAATTTGTATCCAGCTTTCTTTAAATATCATATTTATATCATAAAGCTGAGGGCTTTAGTGGTATTTAGATATATGATATTTCTTTAAATATCAGAATCAGTGTACAGATTTTCTCTGGCCTTGGGAGACCCAGTGTGGGAACTACTGATTTAAGAGTGAAATAGACAAAAGGCACATTTCAAACTTCAAACTCTATCTTTTTTTTCCGTGTGGCCTAAATGATGTTTTAGTAAGATTTGTGTGTATTCCTTACAGACTGACTACTTCTCTTAAAACTCAAGCATATCTCCTGGATCTTGCATTTCTTATGCCCACACACACCCCATCCTGGTACCCAGCAACAACGCCTCCCAGATAAGCCCAGACAAGTACCTGACCCTGGCTGCCAAAGTGCTTGTTCTGGGGCAGACTTTAAAGGCCATTTGCTTAACAACTATCAGGAAAAATCCATGAAAGATGAACCCTTTCGCTGATGTCCTTCTGTTAATGGAACAATGTGCCTCAGTGACTGAAGTGAGGAGCATTTGCTACCATCACTTATGTTCTGGTCTTATGTAGCTGTACTACAATGGTTTATTCACATGACTGTCCTCCTGAAACCATGGACCCCTTTAGGACAGGGATCTGGCCACCTTTGCTTCCTTAGCACTGAGCATAACATCTAGTGGTTTTAAAATGAGTAGATGAGTAAAAAATTTCATTTGCAATTTGTGAAATTATCTTTTAGACAATTTCTACAGTGACACTTTTAGGCTACCAGTTAACCTAAAGAAACATGCTTGGGCTACACAGGTCTCTAACCTTTCACACACACCATCTGCAGTCACACGAATGTATGCAGACACACATACACGCCCAACAGGGAAACTCTCTGTGATCAAGAATCCTGCCAGCACCTCAGGTACTCACCCACCTAAACCTTTACCAAATATTGTATCTTTATCCTTGAGACTTAAACTGCCAACCAAAATGTTAGCTGGAATGCCATTTTGTTTCCCTCTCTGGTTCCCTGAAGTTTTGAGGTTATGGATTATTTTTAAGTATATCCTTTGAAATTAATGGACAGTCTCAAATACTAAAAAAAATATTGTAGGTTGCTTTGTAAACTTACCTTGGAAAGATAACTCTTTTTGATTCTAAATATGCCTCTAGACACTTCTGAATTTGGTCAAGTAATGCATTATTATTTTGAAAGGTCTCCAAAAGTCCTGTTTATTGGGGAAAAAAAGGTATTGGTAAAATTGTGTTAAAATAAATAGAGTATATAATATTTTAAGTGGAAGTAAATTATGATATTGACATTTTAAAAGCTTTAGTTCAATTTGATGAAAGAATGGCCTGATTAAAATTTGGGGGATTGGCTAGGAATGCTAGCTATTACTTTAAATAATATTCATTTTAATATTATTTTAATTATTTTAACATTTACTACAGAAGACTAAGTATTCAATTTGAGACATTTTTAGCCAGCATCCTCCACTTTTGAGAGGCTGAGAACACACAAACCAGAGCTGAACAGTTGCTCTCCCCTTGTCCCTCTGAACAAAGCTACGTTTTAAACACTGTACATTCTTTGCCACTTTCTTACTTATGTCTTTTGTTTCCTTTGCCATCTTTGGATGCTGACATTGTGGCAGTGGGATCCCATTTCTTTATCACTAAACTGGATCACCTTAACAAGCAAGATTCATGTCTCACTTAATTTTGAGGTTTTGGTGCCTAGCAGAGTGCCTGGCTTCCCCAGCTGTCCAAGAATCAAATCAAGTCTCTGCCATGGTCACCAAGGCTCTCTGTGACCAATGACCCGATCTGTTCCCAGCCCCACACCCAAGCTCACTCAGCGCTCTGGCCTCACCTCCTAAGCCTTCTCCTCGTACACCCCACTCCAACCCACTCTGGCTCCCTGGCCAACAGCTGCGCGTGCTAACTGTGCTCTCACTCAGAGCCTTTGTCTTGGTTCTTCTCTCTGCCTTAAAAAATCCTCCCTAGATCTACAGAAATGTCTCATTCTACTTACTCAGAAGCTACTTTATCAAAAAAGCCTTTTATCACGTGCGTGCGTGCACAGACACACACACACACACGCACAGAGCAAGGCCCTAGCTGGGCTATACTCTCTAGTCCCCTAACCCTGCCTAATTTTTCTGCCTAGCTTTATCATCACCTGAAATGATATATACAGGTCCACATTTCTTTATCTGAAATCCCTAGGACTAGATGTGTTTTGGAATCACTTTTTTAAAATTTCAAATATTATATTATACAACAAGTCTAGTGGGGACTGGGGCAGCGCTCTGAAACCAAATATACATTTTTGCAGCAAAAGGTTTGAACGTGCACCTTAAGTAGATGTGGTAGGCAGAATAAAGGTCTCTCAAAGATGTCCATGTCCTAATCCCCAGAATCTGAGGATGTATTAGTTTGTGTGGGAAAATGAACTTGGCAGATATGATCAAGGATCATGGGGTGGGGAGATTATTTTGGATCATCCAGTGGGCCCGGTGTAATCACAGGGGCCCGCAAAAGAGGGAGGTAGTGGGGCAGAGGCAGAGAAGATGTTACGGTGGAAGCAGTGGTCGGAGTGATGCAATTTCTGGCTGGAAGGGGACCAGGAGCCAAGGCAGCCTCTGAAAGGCCCCAAGTATTAAAGCTTTCAATTCCTTATACCTTATACCTTATAGCTTTTCCCTTCTGTTTCTGTTTTATGTAAGAGTTTTTGGGCAAGCAGCATAGCCCAGCAGGCTGCCTCTGCTTGGCAAGGAAGCTGTCTGCAGGTGTTTACCAGCCTGGGTCATGTGCTGCCACAGGTAAAATGAGAAAGCTTGCTGAGGCTTTGATACAAAGCATAAAATTCAATAGCCATGTATGTGCATCAGGAAGACTGATTCCACATGCATGGAAACCGAACTTATTAAAACACATTTCAATCTTGAGATTAAAATTATAACTAGTGGTAATATTTTCAGTGATTTTAATGAGTTAGTTAAAAATAAGGTATGGCAATATTAATGGTTATAAGTCTGTGAGAGCTTTAGCAGAATGGGTCAACTGAATGTACACGTTTTACAGTCAAAATTGTGAGATGGATGTGTCACTGATAGTTTGCAGCACCCCCAAATTATGAAAATAAGGAAAAGGAGCCAATTCTTTTGTGCTGAAACTATGAACTAAACTGAGATAACAATAGTAAAAATGAACAACAGAGTTCAATTCACACTGCTTACCAAGAGTGTCAAATATACTATGAGTATTCCTAGACATCAATGCTGATTAGAATCGATGGTTGAATGTAACACATATTATTAGAATCTTACAGGTGATCAATGCAGATGATTGTAAAGTCTTTTGTTTTTTAAAATTTTGTTTTATACCTGGTTGAGTAGCTGCTCGAAGAGCATTAGGCAGCCGGTTCACCTTCCTCATGATTTCTTTCCATGACTTATCCACTTGAAGGAACATCTTGGCCTCTGCAGGCAATTGTCTCTGAATATCTGGAGCATTAAAAATGCTTTCTAGGTAGAGCCAGTTTCTCTGGCAGTTCAGCCACTCTTCCTAAGAAAAAATATGGCCATTATCAAACATTTACTGACAATTGAAAATATGCAGTTATTTAAAAAATACATGGGGACTTGGTGAAGGGGGGAGCCTAGTAGACATACTGTCTTTCATGTAATTGTAGATTAATGATACCAAAAAAAAAATACATGGGGATTTAGTGTATCTTTTTCCTTTTGGGGGCTTCTCACAGGCCCTTTGAAGTGAAACCTTAAAGGGTCCAAAACTCCCCTCAGCCTAGTTTCAACCTACTTTCTACTGAGTTGAGTTATAATGAATCTACTGCATGGTAACCAGAGTGGACCCAGAGAAAGAGGATTAAATGCACAGAAGAGACATTCTAGGGGGAGGCAAGATGCTTACTTAAAGAAGTCTGAAGTGTTGGGAAGTGGTAAGTTTAGTGACTATTCCCAAATATGGAAAGGGTTATTTAAATAAAAAGTATTTTTTGGCCTCAATTGGTCTATATTCTCCCTCCACTTGTTAGAAAGAAATATGATTCTTTTTCATCAAAAACAAAACAAAACAAAGCAAAACCTGTTTGTGACAAATACAGAAGACAGGAAAGAAGGAGAAAATCAGCCACTGCCTTTCCCCTGAGAGACAATCCCTGTTAACCAGAGAACCAGAAGCGCAGTGCAGGGCCAGCATCGGTGGGTCTCAGCTCTCTCTGCACTCCTGCCACACACGTGAAGGCCCGAGATCTGTGAGGGAGTTTCCCACTTCTCACTCTAGGCTTGAGGGCTATGCCTAAACCCTAACAGCACAGCCTTCCCACCCTATGGGTTATCTCAGGTCTCATACTTTCTATACAGTTAATTCTCTGGGGAGTCCCCACTACTCAGCACTGCGTTTTTTAAGGACCCTAATGAAAACATGCTCTTCACCTTGACCTGTAGTCCCTCCCTTCACAGAGCTCAGCAATCAGTACAGAAGGCTGGGTAGGGGTCTGATTATAAGGTGTTCACTGAAGATGATGAAAAAGACCTCAATAAAAAAGTTGCAACAAACTGTCTTTTCCTATTTACTGCCTTTATTATTTCATGGATAATTTTTCATATTAGGATACACAGAAATCTTAAATCAAGCTAAGTATCTTAAGTCTAAGAAAGCAATGAAGTGGGAACACAATAAGATCATTTTGAGTTCTATGTTTTATTATGGGATAATCGGAGGTAGAATTTTAAAAAAAGGAGGTGTATATCACGAGGAAGCATACCCAGCCCACTGCAAGCAAACAGTCAGTGTTTTTTCAGTAAATATGAGGTTGTGACCCCAAGATCTGCTGTTCACACCCTTGTGTGATCCTTTCCCTTGAGTGTGAGTGAACTGTGACTTGCTTCTAGCTATAGAGAATTTGGTAAAGGTAACAATGTACGGTGGTTATGGGTTTGGTACATAAAACCATAACATCCATCTTGCCAGGAGACTTTTTCTTCCTTGCTGGACTGATGAAGCAAGTGGTCATACTGGGGAAGTCCACATGGAAAAAACCTGTGGGCGGGTGGGGGGCAGTAGGCAGCACAGCCCGGGGCTCTGGTGTGGACAGAGGGGAGGCTCAGGCCTGTGGTAGACTGATTCCGGGAGGGGCTTGGGCTCTGCCAAGGCCACCAGCTTGTCACTCTTCTGGGCGCCACTCCCCAGGCCGGCCTGTCACCTGGTGCAGCGCCAGTAGCTGGGCACTGATTCCTCTCAGGTGCCTGGGTGCTGCTTTGAGTGGAGTTACCCTTTATACCACAAAGCTGGAGGGACAAGGGGACAAAACAAAACAAGAAGAAAGTGGAGGAGGTGCTTGAAGAGGAGGAAATAATGCGGTGGAAAATATGCTCAGTGGTGAAGGCAAAGTGGACAACCTCTGAAAGTGGAAGGGCTCTCAGATAAGGACGATGGGGGGAGGCAGAAGAAGACCTGGGTCACCCCCGTCTAGAGTCACACAAACAGCACAAGAGACAGAACTCAGAGGGAGGCACCGCCAAGCGGACTGATTCTGAAGCTAAGTGAGAGGAAAGCAAACCGAAGAAAAAGAAGAGCCAGGAAAGCCTCAAGGCTTTCCCAAACCCGGAGCAGATCACAGACTCCAGTGTGGAAGCCTGTTTCTGAGGAAACGGGGAAGCTGATGAGGCTGACCAGGGCCCTGTCGACCAGCCATGTCCGGTGCTCTCCGGTTGTCAGCGCCTTCTATGAGGAAAGGCTGACATGGCATCCCGGCCTCTTGGAGGACAGTGACAAAAGAGATGACAAGAATTAGTTCTGAGTACCAGTCTCTCTCACGTCTAACTGTGGGGAGGGTGAGAAGGGAAGGAGTTCTCTTTGTCTTGACACCACACAGGTGCCTTGAGAAGATACCCTTTGAAGACCCAGGGTCGTTTCTACGTGTGCGGCAGCCCATCCTGCTGGAAGGGAAGGAGGACGAGTGTGTCAAGGCAACTGATTCTGCACTTTGCTGGAAAAGCAAAGGGACTTCTATGAAGGACAAAATCTTGCAGGATGGGATTGTGGGAGAGCAAAAAGGTACTGTGGATCTTCAAAGTGCCTGTCTGCAACACACAGCCTGCTTCCCAGTAGTGTTCACGCTGCACTTTTATAGCATGAATATAGCTTTTTGCTATTACTGGTTTATTGTTTGGGGTGTGAGTGAGTGCTGGGGTGGGAAGGAAGGAAAATGGGCAGGATCATCTTTGTTAAAATTTCGGGCATGATTGGGGAAATGGTGTAACAATGGAAAGAATAAACAACTAAGGATGATTTTCTTCTGTGTCCAGAGTATTTTATTTTTTCCAAATATGTCATTGGCAACCTAAATGAGGACTGGGAGAGACTGTTTAAAAGCTGCAAAATCCTAGGACTTACAAGCCAAGGTATTCCCTGCCTGAGCTTAATGCTGTTCCCAAGAAGGACTAAGCCAGTTAATAAGTTACCAAAGCTGCCCCTATGGGGATGGAAGCTGGTTGAGAAGGGGAAGTCTTACTGGAGCTTATACACAGGCAGGTCGTTCTTAGAGGTGCTGATTCTTGAAATTGACAAGAAGATGCTTTCTTTTCCAATTCTGAGGTTATAAATATTAGCTTGTCCATCCAAACCACTGGCTGAGGTATTTGGGGAGGGGAGAAGCCTGGTATAGGAGGTGGGAGAGTAGGGAAAGACAAGGTCCACGCTTTTAGGGTGGAAAACTCTTGAAGCTTCTTTTCTTTTTAAACTTTGAACTCTGAAACCATTGGCAGTAAGGTTGAGTCACTGACAGCACAAGTTTGTTGAATCAGTTCAAAAGCTGAATGGTTTTGAAAGCCCTGGTCTTTAGAGAAGATTAAACTCATAGAAGGGCAGTAGTTCACTTTAAAATACAAAATACATTTTGCTTTTTAATCCTAAGAATTATCTAATACCCTTGACTGTTTTTAGTCATGAAAGCCATCTGTTCTTGACATCGTCTAGACCTGCATCTAGAACTCCACTGTAAAATCTCTTTGGCATGTGTTAGGTTCCTGTGAAAACTTTGTTTAAATGTAAACTTAATTCCATACTGTCAGTTTTTGTATTAATAAAACCATAATTTTTAAGAACAAAACAAAACAACTGTGAGAAACATGTAGCAGCTGAGGATGCCCTCTGACTGACAACCAGCAAGAAATGGTAGCTGTTAGTCCCAGAGTTGCAAGGAAATGATTGCAAGTTGCCAGCAACCTGAGTGAGCCTGGAAGTGGATCCTTGCTTAGTGGAACCACTGATGAGAACCCAGTCCTGGCCCAGCTCTTGATTAAACCCTTGTGTGACCCTAGAGACCCAGTTAAGCCACACTGGAACTCCTGACCCATAGAAACTGTGGGATAATAAGTATCTTATTTTATGCCACTAAATTTGAGGTATTTTGTTTCATAGCAATACTAACTAATCTAAGTGTGATGGTATAATCTTGTAAAGAAGAGCTCAATAAATTTTCATTTCCTTACATTCTGAACATAATAAAAAGTCAGGAATGAAATCTTACCTCTAACCTATATAATATTTAAATTGTTAGGCAGAAAGACAGATATGACCAAGAAGAAAAGAAGGTGGGGCCCACCAAGAACTCAGGGAGTTAACCAGATAAAGCCTGAGAGCAAGAAAAGACTCACAGAGTCAACACCCTTTTGCAATGTGAGCTCATTTCACATGCTCTGAATCTGGGTTGACCTTGAGACTTGCTCTAGCTAATTAGCAGGTGATATGGAGTGGAGACGTGGGACTAGCACCATGATTAACTTTTCCTGTGTATGGTGCAAAATGCTGAGATATGAACAGTACAGTAACAACAGGAGGACTCCACCTTAAGGCCAAGATTTCATTTTAAAAGCAGAGAGTTGTGAAGTTAGACTCCTAATATATACTTTGGTAATCAGCCAACGACTTATCTTAAGGCAAGGCAAACTGTCTTAATTGATATGTTCCGAGTGCTTCAGAGTAGCCACTATCTTGGAGCGGAACAAAAAGTTTATTCTACAGAATTACCTAGAGGGCTGGCTACAGAAATGACATATTGTCTCTCACCAGAGACAGACATCAGGAGACCGCCTGACAAGCCTGCATCCCCCAACCCTTTACCTTTATCTCATTCTTGAAACTCTCACCAGAGATAGACATCATGAGGCCTCCTGGCAAGCCTGCCCCCCCACCCCCCACCCCACCAACTCTTTACCTTTATACCATTCTTGAAAGCCTTAAAAAACAGAATCCTAAACTCTTGAGTGCACCTCCTCTCTGAGGTTGTCCGCACTTGTCTTTCTTTGAGTGTGTCACTCTCTGTCCTACTATAGATAACTAGGGAGGGAATACTAAGAGCTCTGATTTGGGCTTGCAAGCTCCCATCACCTGGGTGATCTGGACAGAACTGCAGCTGTACGATCATGCTCCTTAGTAGCCTGTCTGAAAATCTCTTTTCTTTGCCTTAGGAAGTTCTCAGAACATAATCTCACTCCATCCAGTGCTCTGCTGCTTCCCCCAACTCCTGGGGTGTTAGGGGCTTAGTCCCCTCACCATGCAGATTCAAGTGGACACTGGCTTTAGGAGTTGGTAAGGGATTATGCCTTAGGATGGGCAGCAATTCAGTGAGCTTCCCTTTCCTCCCTCTCATCTTCCATCCTCTCTGCTTAATTCAAGTAAACTTGCCTTTGCTTCCTTGACTCTGGCCTGTTCCTCCCCTAGAGTGTATTCAAATAAAAGTTCTGCTCCACTTCACTACTGTGTCTCTGCCCTTCAATTCTTTGTTGCAGTAGGGACAAGAACCAAGGACAACAAACTCAACCCCAAACATATTGATTGAGCAAATGATTTCTAAGGTCCTATGGCTCTCCAATTCTCCAAGTCCTCAAACTGAAATGATCCTTACGCACCAGTGTTTGATTAAATAAAGCAAGTTGTTTCTGCCACTCATCCACTCGAGTTTTCAGCGGACCGATGTAACGTGAGGAAGCAATGGTTCCAATACTGATGGTGCTGTCATCAAGAAGGACCTTTAAGAAAAGAAGAAAACACACATCATATGTATCTTAAAGGCAACTATAGATATTTAATCCCAAAACACCATTTAAAAGTCAACTTTCTGAATGAATAGCTTAATCCTATCTACTTCCCTTCCTTATCTATCTTACCACCCTCTGTGATGTTCCCTCACATGTTACTAAGGGACTTTTGATTGCCACATCTTAACTGTTTCTGTAAGTCTAATGGCACAAGTTTTGGTTCAACACCCCTTTCCTCTCTCTCCCTACTTTTAGTTATCTGGTGCCTTCTTTACTCTATTTGGTCATCCAGGCCTCTATTTCTCAGAGTACTCAAAACTTGCAAAATTAGCTGTTTTCTCTATCCAGTGAAACATCAATTTCCCTCAGTTATCTTGAAGAACAGAGGTACTGAGTTATTCATATCAAGCATCAATGATTATAGACAGTTTTCCCTCTACCTCCCTCTCCTGCTCCTCCCCTTACACTACAGTAACCCTCACAGAACATCTATCTGCATTCTAAAAAATTGGTCTGTGAACCTAAAAACATTTTAATTGCTCTATTTAAATTACAGATTCCTTGAGAGTACAAGCCCCAGTGCTCCAGCATTATTTGGCCCCATACTTTCATCTTGGGTCTGTTTTCCCATCCACTGCCTGGAGTAGTATTTGGTCTTGCTCTTCAGACTTACACCTGGCGAAGGCATCTGTTCTCACAGCCAGGGCTTTGCTTTTTAAACTAGGCCATAAGACCTAGATCCCTTTGCTCAACAGATGTGCCTTTGCATTTTAAGTCACTAAGAATATTCTAAACACATGGGCTGGATTTATCGTCTTTTGTTGCTCACAGAGCATGGCCATATACTTCTGATCAAAAAAACTCAAGTGAATGTAGCTTTTTAGTGTACTATGTACCTGAGATGCACATTCATGTTTTTTTACTTCATTTAAACGGTCTGAAATGCCCTTTGTTCTCATCTGTGTCTATCAAATTGCATTTACTCCTTAAGATCCAGCATGTTTTGGCTGTTCTAGGAAGGATACTCTGACCACTTCAGCCATAAATGATCTCTTTGCTTTTCTAAATTCCTCAACAATTAACCACAGGATATATATGTGCCATTTTTATTGCTTTGCTAAATATTTCATGAAGAAGCATTCATGTCAATTATTCATATTCATATTTTGCCTTCCTGATTAGACTTTTTCTTATTTAATAACTCTTATATTTCATTTCTTCATCATAATCTCCCATATAGGATTTAGGACTCGGTCTGCCAGAGCCTTTGCCATAAGTTTTCAATAACCTTGTTACCCACCTGTATGTCATCTGTGCCTCCCAGGATAAATACATCTTTGGTGTCACGATGACGGAGAACAACAAATTCAGTCATTTTCCAAGAATCCTCCACCTTAGAAATAATTTAAGTGTTAGGATACCTAAATTCATTAGTGTTTAGGCACTTAATAAATGCATGTGGAATGATATAAGAACTCCACAATTATCTCATTTTCCTCCTTACTGCCTTTAAGGCTTAAAATCTTCTCAGATGACACTGATTTGCTTAATTTTATTAACTAAAATTAATACATATGAATAACCTGTGGTTCTTTAACATTTATCTCCTATCACTTTCTGCTTTAAATGAAAGGAAAAACAATTCTTTTACACCTTCAGTTGAAAGGTGATTGGTTGGTACGTGTGTATTTTTAGGGTAAAGAGGGTAAGTGTCCAAAGTAGGAAGTCTCAATGTGTTTTGAAGCATTTCACACAGTCTCTGTTAGTCTGAAAGATAATGTATTTTAGTATAAAAGATCTTAGGTATATGGTCTTTATATAAACATGAAAATTTCAAACTTTGTTGCCATCAAATTCCTATTGGGCTATAAGCTAAGTGGAAGAAGTTATTTATAGAGGTGATAACAATAATAATGATAATAAATATAAGGAAATAACAGAAGAATGACTGGTAATGAGAGGATGACAGCTGCAATGTTGAAAAATCCATCCAGATTAACCAAAAGTTGGTGATCTTCATGATGAACATGAAAATATTTATATTCTTTGAACCTCAGAATATTTTTCAGATTTACCTTTTTAAGAATTGTTTCTAAGGCAGCTTCTCCAGAAGCCTGTCCAGAAATGTCCTGGATTTCTTGGCCAAAGTCAAAAACATGCAACTGGAAGAGCCTTTCCAAGGTCAAGGGAATTTCAAGGTCCACTAGGGTGGCATCAACTGTTTGTTCAATAGCTTCCCAATGTCTAGGCTTCAAAGTCGGGTTCCTCAAGTCAGTGATGACTGGAAGCTGGAAAACAAACACCCTCAGAGGCAACAGGCTTTTTATTTGAAAAACAGCTCAAGGCTTATGGTTTCAATTTGGGAATGTAGAGAGCTGGAAAGAATACCACTTATACTCTTACACCAAAGAAAAAGCTAGACAAACTTCAAATTAATAACTTGTATTGAACCCATCAGAAAACTGAGGTGCAGGGCATACAACTAACTCAAAACTTGGGGAAAGACTGGTGCTCACAGTTTTCTCCACAGCAAGAAACAGGAGAATTCATTATCTAGGACAGATGCCTTGGGCTGCCATTTAAGCTACTAAGAAGATTCAGCTAAATTTTAAAATAAATTGCTAAAGACTGCATGTAATAGTGGGAGAATACGAAGTCCCTAGGGGCTATAAATATTAGAGGTGTTCACAGGGAAGACTGGGAAGAATCCTAAGAAAGCCTACTTTATGGTGCTGCCTGGGGGAGGGAAATAGCAGGAACTATGGTAACTAACCAACCAATCTCTTCTAGCTTCCCTATGGAATAAAAGACTTATTAATGTCTGAGAAAGGAGCAATAAAAACTGTCACCTTAAGGCACTGGTGATAACTCACTGTAGTTATCTATATATAACTGGAGAAACAGAACAGGAGAAAAAAAAAGCTCCACCCTTTAGGGAGAGACAGAAATACATTCTAGGCTCATTACTACAGTTTGGAGAGCGGTGTAGGGAGTGCAGCAGGAACACCCCGGACAAGGGACAAGGGACACAGTGCCTTGCTAAGACAGTCTTAATCAGAACATGAGGGAAGGCCCCTCCTCACCTCTCTCACTAATCTAGTGGATACTGAATAAAAATAACAGGAATACAGGGTGGAAACCTTTAAGATACAGATTGTCTCTGGGAATAGTACAAAGGGAAAACCCAAGGTAGGGGCAACAGAAATTTAAAAAGTCTCCTTTGGCAAACTGGCCCAAACCCTAAACACAGGTTTCATAGAACAATTTGAAGGCTGTGGTGTACTGAGGGGAACCATAGCAACATGAAACCTTAAACACCGTCCAGTTCCTAACTGGATTTAATATAACATGTGACACAAAAAGCTAAATGGAAGGAAAGGCATGCTCATCTCCAGGCATAAAAATTATTTACTACATAAGTATCTACTGTACTACATAAGATGTTTGATTTTCAACAAAAATTTAAGAAGTACATGAAAAGGCAAGATAAACATATATCCAAGAGAATAAAAAAATCAGAACCAGATTCAGATATGGCACACAGGTTGGAATTAGCAGACAAAGAATTTTAAATAATTTTGATTAATATGTTAATGGCACTAATGGAAAAGGTAGAAAACACACAAGATCAGATGGAATATGTGAATAGGGATATGGAAACTATAATTAAAAATTAAATAGAAAGGTTAGAAATGAAGGACACCAAGAGAGGTAATGAATGCTTTGGTGAGCTTGACACAGCCGTGGAATCACTGAACTTGAAGATAACTGAGTAAAAGTTCCCCAAAGTGACACACAAAGAAAAAGGAGAGTGAAAAAGTTCCCTCAACCCCCAAACAGAACATTTAAGATTGTGGGACAATATGATGGTCTAACATAAATGCAACAGGAACCCTAGAAGGTGGACATAGAAAACAGAGCAGAAAAGCTACTTGGAGAAATAATAGCTACAATATTTTCAAACTTAAAGACAGGTATCAAACCAAAGATCCAAGAAACTGATAGAACACCAAGCAGGATAAATTCAAACTATAAACAACAACAGAAACACACGCCTAGGCATTCTGCATTACAATCTGCCAAAAACAAAGAAAAGAAATTTTGAAGGTAATCAGACAAAAAAATACATATTATCTACAATGAATAAGGATAAGAACTAAGAAGGCTTCTTGTCAGAAACCATGCAAGCAGAATATAATGAAAATAAAAGGATACTTTTAAGTTGCTGAAAGAAAAAACAAAACCTGTCAACTCAAAATTATATATCCAATAAAAATATCATTCAACATAAAAGATAAATACTTTCTCAAAACAAAAATTATGGAATTCATTGTTAACATACCTACTCAATAAGAGATATTAAAGGAAATTGTTCAGGCAGAATGAATATGCTATGAGTCAGAACCTTAGATCCATACAAAGAAATCAAGAACCTAAGAAATGGAATAAAGATGATAAATTTCATTTTCTTTCCTATTTTTATTGTCCTAAAAGATAACTAATTCGAGGTAATGTAGACTTCAGAACACAAAAGTTTATTAAAGGAGAGGCAATTCATAAATGATAAAGGGGTCAATTCTCTAAGGAGAAATAAAAACACTAAATGTAAATACATCTAACAACAGAACATCAAAATAAATGAAGCTCCACCACCTTGAGATGCAGTATATTCATAAATGATTTGGAATTCTCTATATAGAAGTTTATCTGTTCTCCTTTGTCTGCCAATCTATCTACCAATCATCTCTGTCTTGTCTGTCATCTATTAATTCAGCCATCCACCCACCCATCCATCCTTCCATTCTTTCAGTTGTTCATTTATATCAATATGAACTCATGGATATTTATTTTATAATTTAGGTTATAAAGTAATACTACATTATTTATTGTTTGTTCAAATCATTACAGTTTTGGCCATTGAAAGTTCTTGCTGGCCTCACAAGATACTCCAGGCTCTTTTTGTATACATCCTGACACATCCTTAGAATCAGCCATTTCTATGAGAGTTCCTGATTCCTCTTATTGGAAAATGGTATTAAAAACCAATATTTGGATACAGGATATGCTCACAGCAGTGCTACCCTAGTACTAAAGCAATACAATAATGTTACAAATAAGAAAACTAAAGAACAATGTTATTCATGAATACAGGCAAAAAAAATGTTCAAATAATGTCAGTAAATTGAATCCATCAAAATAAAAAAGGATAATACATTAGGACCCAGGTGAAGTTCATTTCAGGAATTAAAGCTTGGTTCAACATTTGAAAGTCAATCATTATAATTCATCATATTAATAGATTAAAGAAGAAAAACCATATGATCATAGATGCAGAAAAGTAATTTGATAATTTTTAACAACCATCTCTCTGATTAAAAAAAAAAGCTCTCAGGAAACTGTGAAACTTGATTATCCTAATATTTTATGTATGTACACATAGAGTTACCATATTACTAAATAATTCCACTCCTGGAATTTCAGTTCTATTAGTAGTAACTGACTAACCTGGAATTTTTAAAGTAATTTCTATGAAACTTACCTTTTCTTTCATTTTTTCCACCTTTTGTTTTAGCTGGGGAACTACACTGTTGGGTGGCAAGCCTTTTTCTAATTGAGTCACAAATTTGGCATATTTGGAAACTTGACTGTTTAGAAGTTCTGGATCCAGGCAGTCAAATTTAGACTAGAAAAATTAGGGGAAAAAAGACATGATAAAAGGGAAGCATATGTAAATATGCTTAAAATAGTAAAATATTTACTCATATTTTCAAGTAGTTAAATTGTTCATCTAGGTCAACTCTATACTTTTGGAAATGGTTTTATTTATTAACATCACTAATAGTGTATCAGGCATCATTTCTTTCTTCCTTTCATGTCCTTATTTCCCACATCATCAAATGCAGTATTGCAATTGCTGTAATTTATTCCTGAGGATCAATCATTGTAAGGAGACAAATGGCTCATTTTTACTCTTGCTAACTAGAAGTTTCTCATTTAGTATTCTCTTATTCTTATTGTCTGATTATGTAACCCTTTAATATAAGTGTTTTAAAGATGCACCCCAATATATGTATGTATCTATACATATATTTCTCAGTTACATAAACATGTAAGTGTACACATATATTGATATGTCAGATGTCATATGGACTGAAGACAAGATAAGATTTTTAAAAATGGAAAGGTATTCTCTTCATGGGTTGGAAGAATTAATACTGTCAAAATGTCCATACTACCTGAAACAATCTACAGATTCAATTCAATTTCTGTCAAAATTCCAATGGCATTTCTCAAAGAAGTACAATAAAAACTCTTAAAATTTGTACGGAACCACAAAAGACCCCAAATAGTCAAAGCAATGTTGAAAAAGAACAAAGCACGAGGCATTACACTCCCAGAGTTCAAACTATAGTAAAGCTATAGTAATCAAAACAATATGGCATTGGCATTAAAACAGACCCATAGATCAATGGAACAGAATAGAGAATCCAGAAATAAATCTATACATATATGGTAAATTAACTTATGATGAAGGACCCAAGAATGTACAATGGGGAAAGGATAGCCTCTCCAATAAATGGTGTTGGGAAAACTGGACAAACACATGCAAAAGAATGAAACTGGATGACTATTTTACATGACTCACAAAAATTAGCTCAAAGTGGATTAAAGAATTGAATATAAGACCTGAAACCATAAAACTTCTAGAAGAAAACACAGGTGGTAAGCTCCTTGATTTGGTCTTGGCAATGACTTTTTGGATGTGACACCAAAAGCAAAGGCAACAAAAGTAAAAATAACCAAGTAGGATTGCACAGCAAAGGAAACCACCAGAAAAATGAAAAGGTGACCTACTGAATGGGAGAAAATATTTGAAAATCATATATCTGAGATTGGGTTAATAGCCAAAATATATAAAGAACTCATACAACTCAATAGCAACAAAACAAATAATCCAATTAAAAAATGGGCAGAGGATTTGAAGAGACATTTTTCCAAAGAAGACGTAACAGATGGCCAACAGGTTCATGAAAGATGATCAACATCACCGATCATCTAGGAAATGCAAATCAAAATCCAATGAGATATCACCTCATACCTGCCAGAATGGCTACTACCAAAACAAGTAGTAGTAAGTGTTGATGAGAATGTGGAGAAAAGGGAACACTTAGGCACTAATGGTGGGATTGTAAATTGGTGCAGCTACTATGGAAAACAGTATGGAAATTCCTCAAAAAATGAAAAACAGAACTAACATATGATTTGGCAATTCTGCTTCTGGATATTTATCTGAAAGAAATGAAAACACTAACTTGAAATGATATATATACCCCCATATTCACTGCAACATTATTTACAATAGCCAAGACATTGAAGCAACCTAAGTGTCCACTGATGGATAAATGTGTAAAGAAAATGTCACATACAC